ATCTCTCTCTCTCTCTCTCTCTCTCTCTCTCTCTCTCTCTCTCTCTCTCTCTCTCTCTCTATCTATCTCTCTCTCTTTCCCTCTCTCTCTTTCTATCTCTCTCTATCTATCTATCTCTCTTACTCTCTCTCTCCCTTTTATTTAATTTTCTTAATTAGACGCGCACGCGTGCGCGCGCGCGCGCACACACACACACACACACACACACACACACACACACACACACACACACACACACACACACACAAGCGCCACAGCGCGAACATGTATTCTTGGGGTGTCAAAGAGCTTTGATATATTAGGAAATGATTTCTGGAAATCAGCAAATTATATTATTCCTTCTCCTATCGAATTAGTTGAAATAAGATTCAATAACACATCCTCTTCTAATTCATTGTGGTAACTGTGTTGTTTAAATTACAAACATTTCAAGAATGGAAATTGTGATTTCATGGGAGGAGGGGGGACCTTTCATCTAATCTAAGAGTAAGAGACAAAGACAAAAACAAGGCTTTGAACGCACTCTGTGCACGCACATTCATTGTCAATTTAATTATAGATCTATAGTTTAAAAAATATTAGAGAAACTTATAAATCGGACAAAAACTAAGAACGGGGATATTATGTCGGCTTTGATCGTATGAACTTGAATGAAGTGTATAATTATGCACATTGTTTTTTTCAGTGTGCTTTTATAAGACAGAATAATACATGTACATGTAACAGTCTCAGAGAAAATATGCATGAATTATACATAATTGGACATGCATTATACTTTTAATTTTGACTTACAGAAAAATAAGTCTGAATAGATCTAGATCTAGTCTAGTAATAATAATTTAATTATTTATTATTATCTTCTTTCTGAAATGAAATCTCTTTCGTCTGAAAAACTAGTATGGTCTCTGGCCTTCTCCTTTTCCGGTTCCCATTCAATCATTGTTTACATCGGACTGCTGCTGAAACTGCACTTTCGCATCATAATATTAGCTCAAAGCAGACGTTGTTTGTCATTTTCAGTTGCATATATGGTTTGTTTCCTGATGACAGGACTGAACTGGCTTCATGGCAGGGTTTCAAGTTGAAAAGGGTAAACAACGATCTATTGTATTGTAGTACGAAGTAGATCTAGAATCTATATCACTATATCTAGATCTAGATGATCTAGATTCTAGATCTAGAAATCTAGATCTAGATTCTAGACTCTAGATCTAGATCTAGATCTAGATATATAGATATCTAGATCTAGATATAGATATAGATATAGATTATATCCTATACTAGACTAGATCTAGATTAGATCTAAAATCTAGAATCTAGATCTAGATCTAGATCATCTAGATCTAGATCTAGATCTAGATTTAGATTTAGATAAAGGCCACCTCTATTCTCACCCGGGGTGAGAATAGTGCAGGCGGGTCTTGTGGCTATTCTCACCCGGTGCGCGTGTCAACAAATTTTGCGTTCACCCTAAACCACAGAATTCTACACTGTGATAAGAGAAAAATTGTAGAATTCTGTGCTGTGAACAAACGTTCCATTACAACTGTACTTGTGTCTTGTCTTGTACTAAAAGCGTACAATTTTGTCTGTGGGCAGGGGAGAGAGAGAGAGAGTGAGAGAGAGAACAAAACAAAATGGCGACCCACGTAGTTCGGCTCGATTCGAAAAGTTAAATAGCCGTAGCATCTTTGTAGACAACCAAATTAATTTACTTTTGTGTTTTAACATCATTTTTTAACTTTGTTTTGGTCAATTTGATCGTCCACACCGATAGACAGTATTCAGAAAGAGACAGAGAGAGAGAGAAGAGGGGAGGAGTAGATCTTGCGAGAAATTCCGGGCGGGTGAGAATAGCCACTTTCTTAGATAAATAGATTATATAGATATAGATTCTAGATATATCTTATCTAGATCTAGACTAGATTTAGGTCTAGAGTCTAGATCTAGACTCTAGATCTAGAGTCTAGTCATCTAGATCTCTCTATATCTATACTTGAAGATTCTAATGTAGATCTAGATTCTAGATATATATAGATCTAGATCTAGATTCCAGATCTAGATCTAGTGATTCTAGATCTAGATCTAGATCTAGATAGAATCTATATATATAGAATCAAGAATTAGCCTACACTGTGACTGTGGTGGTGACTGAGACTGTGGACTGCTGTTGTACTCTTCTTCTTCTATAGCTTAGAGTAAAATTACCGGTTCGGTCAAAATTAGGACGAAAACAGGCACGACGACTTTAAAGCTATATCTCCCATCTGCCTTGCCCTAGAGACAAACCGAAACCAGCTACAGGAAGCCCTATGATTGGATGACCCCAGGAATGACCTGTTTCAGCTTGGGAAGTGGCTATTCTCACCCGGGGTGAGAATAGAAATACGATCGACCTCTCACCCAGGGTGAGACTTGCCACCGTAGGCTATTCTCACCCGGTGTGAAACAAGACCTGTTTTTCCTAATTTCAAAATACTTTCTATCGATGTGGATGATCAAATGGATAAAGGCAAAGAAAAGATTACGTCATAGCACAAAAGTAAGCTAATTTTATCGACTACAAAGATGCTATGGGATGGCTATTTCACTTTTCGAATCGAGCCGAACTACGGGGGTCGCCATTTTGTTTTGCCCGGAAGTTCTCGCAAGATCTACTCTCCCCTTTTCTCTCTCTCTGTCTCTTTCTGAATACTGTCAATCGGTGTGGACGATCAAATTGACCAAAACAAAGTTTTAAAATGATGGTAAAACACAAAAGTAAATCAATTTGGTTGTCTGCAAAGATGCTACTGCTATTTAACTTTTCGAATCGAGCCGAACTACGCGGGTCGCCATTTTGTTTTGCCCGGAAGTTCTCGCGCTACTCCTCTCTCTTTCTCTCTCTCTCTCTCTCTCTCTCCACTGCCCACAGACAAAATTGTACGCTTTTAGTAGGCTAACAGTAGTAATGGAACGTTTGTTCACGGCACAGAATTCTACAATTTTTCTGTTATCACAGTGCAGAATTCTGTGGTTTAGGGTGAACGCAAAATCGGTTGGCCTAGATCTAGGCTATAACGGTGAACGAGCACCGGGTGAGAATAGCTAAAAGACTCGCCTGCACTATTCTCACCCGGGGTGAGAATAGAGGTGGCCTTCAGCTTGTTCTCATATTTGAGGCCCTTACTGGGTGCAAAAGTGACGCCCGATTTATACGTGTTCAGTCACAATTTTTTGGTTTTCTCATGGATTCGGGCAGTATTTTGACATTCGGTCATTTTCAATTATTATCACATTTGTTTCTTTGCAAGCTTAATAACATGATTTTTAATTTTTGTTATCAACACTTGGACACAATGATAGTTTGTCTAAAGTGGTATTCACCATTTATAGCTATTTTAATAAGTATGTATCTGACCCACTCTACTACGTGGTATCTGACTCTACTACACTGGCATCTGGCTCACTCAACTACACTGGTATCTGACTCTGCTACACTGATATCCGACTGTATTACTCACTGGTATCTGACTCTATTACACTGGTGTCTGGCTGAGTTAATATGCTGTATCTGATTCTACTATTATCTAAATTATGCACAAATTCTTTATTCTTTGTTATATAACCATTGGCTCTATATTATCTTTTGTGCCCAAAGGATGAGAAACTACGGATTTTATGTTACAATCCGGGCACCCCCCCTTTGGGCAAAACGGCGAGACTAAACGGCAATTTCTCTTTCATCCTTGACAGGGCCTCGTATGCAAATAACTCTCCAGCCTTCAGAGTTTACCAAAACGTAGAATCTAGGCCACAGGCTCCTTCATCCACAACCAATGTTAACTCTTCCGGGGAAAGAGCTTCACGCTGTTTTGCTCAGTTGATGAAGAAAAAGCTGTCTTAAGGACTCTTTTTAGCAAAATATTGCCGTAACTGTTGTTTCAACGAAAGTAAGGGAGGTTGTTTTAGGTTTGTGTGAAACTCTTTTGGGGCTAGATTTAAAAACAAAGTTTTAAACGATCTTTTTGTACTCCAGTGCCCGACAGCAACAAAAAAAACGTGCTGCCCGAACCGGTACAATTACTCTATATGTGACACTTAATAGACTCGGACCGAGCTTTTGCACCACCCTGATAGAGGAGTTAAAAAGTAATTCCGGGTTAGATAGGACCTTTTTTGGTGATCTTGTAGTTCCGTTCGTTATTAAAGTCCACGATCCATTTGTTTACATCCAGAGAAGAAATCCGGAAGTCTTGATGACCAAATAGGCTTAGCAACACAAAGAACTGGGATGCAACCTAACTGCACAACATCAAGTTATGGTAATATTCAGGGAGGCATGCCCCTCCCCCCCTCCCCCTTCCATGTTTTTGTTAGGTCAGTGGGGCAATCGGTGATCTTATACTTTAGCACATTGAATTCTTCAATTGAGGACTTCCGTAACGAGCGACCGCTATTAGATCTAGATGATCTAGATTAGCGTATACTCAATGGCTTCCAAAATCGTGATGGAAGACCGAAAACCACTGTTAAACCATCCGTTCATGACAAAATTACGGTAGTTTCCGCATTTAAAAAAAAAAATTTTTACTGCCCCTGCAGCCACTCAAAATGAAATGTGAAAACATCGAGCAAGTGTCAGACTATAAGTATTTGGGTGTTACAATAGACAACAAACTCAACTGGCGTGTCCACACTTCTCTCCTGCATAAAAAAGTGAACAAAAGACTATTTTTTCTAAGAAAGCTAAAGTATTTTTAAGTTGATAAAACATTGATGTCCATGTTCTACCATTCAACCATAGAAAGTATGATCAATTTTTGTATAACTGCATGGGCCGGGAACACAAGACAACAAGATAAAGAAAAATTAAATCGACTAATACGGAAAGCATGTAAAATTTCAACATCTTCATTCCCCTACTTGGATGAATTGTACATAACAGCTTGCACTAAGAAAATTAATTCCATCTTTTTAGACAACAAACATCCCTTGTTCCCTCAAATAAAAACATCACTCAGAAGTAAAAGACCCATGCCTCTGATCTGTAACAAAGAAAGATACAGAAGGTCATTTTTACCATCATCTATCAAAATGCTTACATCTTTAAACCATCTTGTTTAGTGTACTTACGACCTTAGAGCATGCATCAAAATAACATTACGATTTTATTATTGTTTATATTGCTGCTCATTTATATTATGCATGTGATTGTAAGCCTACTTGTGTGTGCATGTGTGTGCACGTGTGTACGTGTGTGTGTTTGTGTGTGTGCGTGTGTGTGTGTGTGTGCGTGCGTGTGTGTGTGTGTGTGTGTGTACTCGTGGTGGAACACCAAACCAATGTGCCAGGATCTGGACAATAAAGATGTATCTTATCTATCTTATCTTATTTTTAGGCCCAGTTCAAAGTTTTCGAGGTCTGAGTCGGGGATTAGAATCTAGAGTAGACTTTGGGAATGTAACGTGTAAGATCACCGGGCAAGCCCCCGTGAAACCTCCCTACTCTTGACCCTTGGGGCCCAAACCAGCGAATAATAATCAATAATAGGAGGGGGGACTGCTGAAGAAGTTCTTTGCTTGAATTTTGATTTTCTGGCTTTAGTGTTTCCTTCCAGTCTGACACTTAGTTCACTCCTCCACGATTACCTGGCAATTCAGGGTCTCAGCTTTGGACTTTAACGAACGAAACTACAAAATCACCGCTTTTTTTACCCAGCAGTCTTCTGAAAAATATTTGGAAGAAATCGGAATGAAGCAAAAACGCAAAATAAAAAAACTTGACTGAAAATAGGAACTGCACTTTTTTGGCTGAGTGAACAATCTTGTTTTATGACAAGGGTGGACCTTCCAGTTACCGTGTACATAGATACTGAGACTGCGTGCACGGTTACCGTGTAGGCCTGCCTAGAGGCTTCTTTTAACCGAAGTGACTAGATTTCTCCGAATGCTCGTGAAAATAAAGTTGACCTCTATTTCTCCAAACGATTTCCGTTCTCAAGATTTTTTTGTTTTTTTGAGACTACAGTCAAACCTGTGTAAGACGGCCACCCATTGTCTAGGAGAAAAGTGGCCGTATAAGACAGGTGGCCGTCTTAGGCAGGACTGATCAAGACGAAGAAAACAAACCATTTCCATCATTCTGAGCCTGTCCCAATTGAAAGTGGCCGCATCGTTATTGATTTGTTGTTGTTGATTTTGTATTTTGTTTGTAATTTTTATTTTGTCGCTGATTTTGCACAAGGGTGACAATAAAACGAAATGTATCAGACGAGGAAGACCGTGTGCCATGTTGAAACAAACACATTGGTCGCAACCACTAGGCGAACGAGCGACACATCTGTCGCAAGTTCATGTTGTTACTTTGTTACAGTTACAGACAGGGTAAACAGTGACCACTCATCTCACTTACGATATGTGTATGAGTTCTGGGCAGGGCTTATGGGGTATGAGGGATCACACGCTTACCTGACCAACAGCTGAAAACTGGTGCCTATTGGTCAACAATGAGAGGGGCCTACGCAACATGATTGGTTGGAGGGACTATCTAACAACAATGACAGGGGATTGAAATATGACGGCTCTCCCACAACGCCAGGGGCCAATGCACAATTTATGAAAAAACGTAATGGAGTCACTAAGGTGGCCATCTAAGACAGGCGTTATTGCTTTGTGTGATAGGGCTTGTGTGTTAAAATATGGTGGCCGCGGCCGCATTGGACAGGTGCCCGTTTTACACTGTTAAATTATATAGAAAAAACGCAAGGAGGGGAAGGGAAAGTGACCGTTTGTACAAGTGTCCGCCTTATAGAGGTGGCCGTCAGGGCAGGTTTTACTGTATTTCGGCATCATCTTTCATTCTGCTATTCTGCAAGGACTAGGTGGAAGCATTTTTTTAATCGAATTAAATTTCTAAAGCTATAGATTTTTAAATGTCTATTCGGATAATTCAATTGTGATTAGGGCAACGTTCCCGGAATATACTTCTTTTGAAAATGTCTTCGAATAAAAGGTACTGTGAGAAAACAATGTCGACTTTTGCAGTGACCTATTTTGCATTTAGTCACCCCTACAGCAAAAACTAAAATCCTTCATGTAAATTTTAAAAATCCCTTCGCGCCCCCTCCCATTCACACCTTATACACACACACACACGCACAGGCCACTCCATTTTCAAATAACCAACAAATCTCGAGAACGTAAACCGTTCGGAGAAATAGAGTTCAAGTTTATTTTCCCAAGCGTTCGGAGAAATAGAGCCGGCCTTTTTTTTTACAACACTCCAGTCTGGAGCGCCATTCAAAATTAAGTAGGCTTCCTTTACCTTTTAACTTTTTCAGCCTAACATTATATGAATTATATTTTTTTATATTTATCAATTGGATGGGAATAAAGTAAAGAGCTGTCTAGATGACTAAGATACCAATTATGTTTGAATCCAATCAAGTAGGCCTACCCAAGTCTTGGGCCAAGTGTTTTAGCCCTTGGGAGTACTCACTTGACTTGTTTTTCAGTAGGCATACTCTAGTACCTGCCTGAGTACTTGATCAATTTAAATGGCAAGAACATTCAACACTTGTTATTATAGCCTTACTACTACCTTTGGTTGGGACCTCAGAAGGGAACGCTTTGTTTTCTTTATTTTTATTTGTCCTGTCTAAGACAGAGACCGGTCTAATTATATAACCACTTTTCTCCTAGACAAAAGGATAGTTTTGACTGATCTTTCAATTGAATTTGGTTTGAGGAGGGGACGGTATTGTTAAAGACTAAGAACTTAAAAGCTCTAGAGAGTAGAGAGCCACTTTGTTTCTTATGATGAGACCATCTTATGGTACAATATTCATGGCTGTCTCCTTTGTTATTGCAGAAATTAAGGCAGCTGTTTCCAATTTGGAACCTGAAACAGTAAAGTCTTTAGAAAAATGTTTGCAAGAACTCACTTCCAGTGGAAGCCCTTCATTGGATCAGAAGATTGTTAAGAAGTTCAAGCAATTATGCAGGTGAGCTGTCAGGGGGTAAATTTAGATATTTATTTTTTCATCTTTATAATAGTAAAAATTATAAGTATGATAAATATGCAATGATTCATATTTCTTTTTATATAAATGAAGGGTGTCAAGTTCTTCCTCCTTGTGAACAAAGTTCATTTTTAAAAAAAAGTTGTCAAGATTGGATCTCATTACGGAATGCTAAAGGATGGGACTAGTTTAAGTATACATTTTTTAAGACATTTTTGAGCCAAGAAGACAATACAGTAATAATTAGCTGCACCCTTTAATTTTTCAATTGAATGTAGTATAGTTTTGTTACAGCTTAAAATATTGTTACAACAAGGCAACCTCAATTGATTTTTAAGTGTAATTTAGGTGTGACTGCATTCATGAAAAGGTTACATCCTATTCAGCTGTTTGTACCCTTTGATGAAGCTAGAGGTAAGAATATAATTGACCTCAACTTTTTTTTTTTTTTTCTCAGAAAGTCTGATGACTATGTTCGCTTTGCTTTTTTACTCATCATGAGACATCTGAAGAAAAAGCATTCTGAAGTACGACTGTCAGCATTTCAAGTGGCAGACGAATTGTTCAACAGATCTCATGCATTTCGAGAAATTCTAGTCACTCACCTTCAAGATTTTCTTGCTTTAACAGCTGGTAATACCAAAATGTTACTGCTAAGAATCTATAATAATTTTAAACTGTTATGGCATTTTTGCTTGTTGTTGGGGTTTTTTTTTTTATTGGAAGTTCTGTATTGATATTGAAATGTTGCTTAAAAAGGTGCATGTATATGAACAGTGCTGCTCTTTTTTTTAACACAAATTTTACTTTTTTTTTTATTTCATTCATTCCTTTAAATTCAGTTTTTAGAATGAACAATCTTGGAAGTATTCATTTGCTCGTTTGCTTTGGTAATCTTTTGCTCGCATAGTTTGAAAGAAATACAGAATTCCCTGCTTACTTTACATTTGATAGTGGCTGACATGGTGTTTATTATAATAATAAATATTATATATATATATATATATATATATATATATATATATATATATATATATATATATATATATATATATATATAATATATATATAATATATATATGTGTGTGTGTTTATATTATATAAAAAAAAATTTTTATTATGTATGTGTGTGTGTTTAATTATATCTATTTCCATGAATGTCAAAATTGTAGAGACAGAGGTGAAGCAGCCACTGCCCCCACCGAAGTCTGTTGCCAAGAAACTGAAGACTGACACTCTGCATGCTGTACAGAGATGGTATGATAAGTTTGGTCAAGGATATAGGAAGCTGGTCATTGGATATGACTACCTAAAAAACTGCAAAAATGTGAGTGGATTTTTGGAGGTAATGGGTTTGAAATATTTCATCAATTTGCCTTGATTATAACGCTACTTTTAAAAAATTTGGTTGAGAAAACTGCTCAATAAGTGCTTGCAGTTGCCCTTTTATCTTGGTTGGCCCATCTAATTCCACAGTAGTAGCAACAGCAAAATTTCTAAATTTGTTTGCTTTTAATTAAAACTTATTAAATTCCTCTTTCTGGTCTCTGAGGCTTTCTTTACTTCCCTCCTATGTTGTTCTCTCTCTCGTGCCCTTTTTAACTCCCAGTGGAGCACAGGCCATGTTTGTCTGTCTCTCCTCAAATGTTTGACCCTCTTGATCACTTGCACATCCTCCTCCCTAGTATCACAGTGCTGAAAATGTGTACTTACATTTTGTTGCTGTTGCTATTTGTCTCTCCTCAGATTGATTTCACTAACATTCAAGCCCAAAATCTTGCTGAACAGCAAAGGATTGAGGAGGAGGAGAGAAGAAAGAAAAAAATCATGGCAGATAAGCTGCGTAAAGTTGAACAGGAAATTTCAGGTTGGTCATCCTGTGATTTTCTTTGTTTTGGGAGGGGGGGGGGGGCTATTACTGGTTAAGAATCTAGTTTTAATAATGAATCAATGATATTTATGTGGCTTATGTTTATCTATGTTTAGAAGCAGGGGAATTTAAAGTTCAGCAGACAGCTGCTATCAAAATCAAAGGAAAGTACTGTCCATCTTCTCCCTTCTTATCATTTGAATCCCCTAAGATGTGACATGATTACTGGAATTCTAAAAGTTGTTATTGTTTATGTTAGTCCATATTAAATTAATAGTCTCTGTTGTCAATCTTGTGGTTTGTCACACTGAAAGGGCAAATTTTGGACAATTGTATGCGGGTGATCACATAAAGCAATTTTATTTGCTGTTTTTTTCTTAGCTCACCTTATCCAATTTGTGGTTGCATTGTGATTTATTTTCATGTGTGGGAAACTGTGATTTTGTAGTTGTAAACATTAAGAGCATGAAGTGTGGTTGAGATATGTAACACTGTGGATCTGAACTATATTAAATGCAAATGACATATTGGACCCAAAATACATTTAGACTGCTTAGTGCAAGAGTCTTCCTTACACCATTTTGAAAAGTGACAAATGATGGAGTCTTGTACTGAGTGGTTGATATATGTATGTAAAAAATTGAACTAGAATAATAATCTCATAGTAGGTTAATGTCATTTGTATTTTGGAATTTCTATAGCGTAACAGAAAAGAGCATGTATATTATATTTCTTTCTTCCTCAGAGACCAAGTCAGAAATAGATGACTGTGCAAAGGAAGCAGAAAGTTGTTTAGAACTTTTGTTACCTAAGCCAGACGATCTTTTTTTCTTTGATCCTGATGATGCTGTCACCTCACCTAATTTAACTTCATCGAAACTTGCTGAACCAAGGAATGGAACTGATTCTCTGGCCCACTCTAGTCATGAATCAAAACTATCATCAGATGCAAGCTTGTGTGGTAAATATGATGTGAACTCTAAGGTGTTGTCAGTTTCCGGTGAGCCTGGCTATCCCTCGGACAAAGGGGAAGACAATGACTGTGTGGAGAAAATGGAAGCCTCCATGGCAGCTTCATTATGTGAGGGAGATGATGAAGAAAATTGTGCTGACCAGCCAGAAGGAAGCGATGAGGAAGATGATGGTTATGATGATGATGAAGAGACTCTCCAAGCCCATGGTCTGTCTCGACCTGGTATGAGTCTGACCGTCGAGGTCCCAGCTTTTGGTCATGTGTCAGTGAAAGAGACAGAAGACAATATGGACATTGTGCGCTCTCTGAAGGATGCCAGCAAACAGATCAACTCCGTTTTCCTACCCAGAGTGACAAAGTGGCTAGAGGTAGGTTACACTTTATTACTGAAATGTCAGTATAGGATAAGACTGAAAGAGAAACGGGCATCTGAAGCGTAGCAGTTAGATGCTTCACCATCACGTGCAGAAGACTTGAGTTTGATTCCCATGTATGGAGAATTTTTATGTCCGTCTTTCTGCTTGGATGTTGTATCCTAGTGGTTAGGCTACCGGACTCTTAATCGTGAGGTTGCGGGTTCGGGGGTCTGACATTGTGTCCTTGGGAAAGGCACTTTTTCCTCACTTCACACAGGTGGGAATGGGTACCCAGCTATATACAGTGAAATATCTTATCAGATGTTACTGTTTTAGTACCTATATGGCAGCTTGCTCTGTATGCTTCCCAGGAAGTTGAGGTTGTTTCTGAATGCTCTCAAGTCTGCTGGGGTAGTATAGATTGTGAAGCGCATAGAGCTTGCTATTGAGCCGGGATTTGTGCTATAAAAATGCTATCTATTATAATTATCCCTCTTAGCCAGGGTCGTCTCTGACAGTGAAGAGACAGGCAGGCTCGAAGCTCACCTCCTGAATGATATGAATTGTGTTGATAGGGGTGTAACTACACTTTTCAAAACTTGGATAGAGAGAAAGAACAATAAAAAATGTACTCCTGTTGATTTTGGGACACAAAAGGGATATTTAAGACTGCCTGAATGCTCACCCTATAAAGGCAAGCTCAATTCATACACTAGCTTTCATCGTAGGTGCGTGTTTTTATTACAAATATGGGCCACTGTGATAAAAGGACTGCCAGGACGGACTTGATTCCCTATTATAGCCAAATCCTGTTATAGGCAGGGATCGGTTTCAGGAAGATGTTTGTTTTTTTCCTTAAAACTATGATATAACAAGGCCTTAATCGGCACACTGTGAGATTTTTTTCCATAATAGCATGATTTGGCATGAAATTTGACCTTCCCTGCTTGTTATCCCTAGATTCTCGGGAAGAATGGTGGCAAGCATGAGGACATCAAGGCCTTAATTGATTTGAAAGTTCATCTCCAGCACATCAAAGAAAAATGTGTTGAGATGAAGCTCATCTCAATGGAAAAGCCAGCTGCAAAGAATAATGATTCAGGTTTGTATATATTGCTGCATTTGTTTGTTTGTCCAATTTGAAGGGTAGTGAGTTAGCACAGATTGATCACATTGTGAGAAAAGGAAACAAGAAAAGAAATAAAAGTATCAGATTAATATTCAAATACGGGAGTAGGGCTTGCGAGTAATACCATCTTACGGTCATCGAATAGAAATTTGTTTGTAAGCTGAATAGGTTTTATTTGTCATGTGAAAGTATGTTAAGTGATTTAAAAAAGTGTTGATATGAAATGTTGATTGGTTTTATTGGGGATTTTTTAGCTTAAGTCTAGAGAGAATAAAGTGCCAATAGTATTATGTATAGCTAGAGATTCAAAAGTATTGTGCATTCTTTTCTGGTTGAAGTTTGAGACTTGTGTGTGTCTTGTGGGCTTTATTGCCTGAGATTTGAACATTTTTCCACTAAAGGTGAGTTGTAGATATATATTCTTGTTTGTGTCATACATAATAGACATAAGGGCCTTGGACATCTGGCTCTCCCTAGCAAAACTGAAGACAGGGGTAGACTCAGAGCTACTTACTTAAGGATCTTTAACAGATGGGTGATGAGAAAAGATCTGGATAATATAGCATTTTTTAGGGCATCCGAGCATAGGATTGAATGGCGAACTATGATCACAGATGTTTGATGCAGTTTTTGTCATTTGATGATGATGATGTTTTATCATGATTGCTTAGCAGATTGAACTAATATTTGCCTGTTTCTATCCCCTCAGATGATGAGGAATTCGAGGATGTTCCAGAGAAGGAAGGATTTGAACCTCATATTCCGCAACATATGCGTCATGAGTATGGTAAGACAACCATCACTGTCTCTATAACTCTACTCTTTTCTTATCTCAAAGATTTGCAATTGTGTTTTAAAAGAATGCTGCTTTTTTTTCTTCTTTTTTTTTTGGTTGCTTTTTTTTTCTTTTAATTTTACCAAATTCAATACTACATGTAGTTTTCACCAGTGCAACATTACATATTCTAGAAAGGGACTGCTCTTTATATAACTGCTATATTTATTACAGCTGTTCAGTTATATTAAATTCAATAAAGTTTTTCATTACAAGTAAATGCCTTCCTGTGTATAATAATAATAATAATAATGATGATAACAATGATAATGACAATATTATTAATATAATATTAATGATAATGATAACAATAATACCTATATAGTATTATGTCTGAAGATGTGTTTGAGCTAGTTTGTATTTTAATAGTAAGAGGAACGACTGTAGAACAATTTTACTGTGACTTGGGAATAATGGGAGACTCTTGCAGGACTCACTGATACCCCTGAGTCAAGGGAAAAGCCTGGCACCTCACAAAATGGTTCATCGTCCTCATTGCCTAGTGTATCGAGGAGTGACAGTTCATGGAGCCTCAAAGAGAGAGAACTCGTCTCAGACCTAGCAGACCCGACGTCACGAGCAGCGGCTTTGGCTCGTCTTGGTTTAAAGAAGTAAGTCCTTGTACTTTGGTCCTTAACTTTATAACCCCGAGTGGACGATGGGAACGTCCAGTGAAACTCACCCTGTCGTCGAGTGGACAGTCCTAACATCTGGTCAGATCGCAGAGCGCATGAAGTATTACTGCTAATACAATCTCTTACGAAACCAGATAGATTTATTTTGACTCGCAAGTGTAAGATAAATGTATTACCTCTCCCTCTTTCACTTTGACAGTTTTAACCATTTTATGAATATTTTGCATGTATCCTCCATTACGTGTTTCCTGAGATCTGGAAAATATTCCATCTTAATGTGGAAAATAGTTCCGGGGTTTAAAGAGTTAATGATTGGTCAATAAGAACTTCTGTTTTACTCATTCAGTTTTAGTTTATTAAGAAATTCACAGCATTTGCTGCACAATTGGGTCATATAAGTGCTGATGATTAGAAGTGTTACAAAATAGTAACTGACAAAAGATAAGGATAATAAATGTTTGATAGGAAAGAAGGAGGAAACTACACCAGAGCTACTGCCAACCACTCACTTACTCATTTATTTGGCTGTTTGTATGTTGGGTCTTAGATGGGTTTGCTTCTCCTTTTCTCTTTTCCCCTTTTATGATTGTGGTCATGAGATATCAGGTGCTGGTGTAATATTATCATAGTGTTGATATTGCTCTGTAGATCATTTCAAGAATGTCATTCTTTCTATGCATGCATAATAATTTTCAAAAGCAATAGTCACTAATTTGTTTTGGGAGTATTCCATTTGTTTCATGTCATTTCATTCAGTAGGAATTTTGTTTTGTAACTTAAACAAAAAACATGTCCATTTAGAGCTCTGTTTTATTAATGTTAGCATATATTGCCGTTGTACATGTGACACTTGAGAAGGGGAAATCGAAGCAGTATTTCACTTTTGATTTGCACTGAGAATGGTGTGACAGTATCAGTAGCAAAATAGGCCTACTTCTTGGTTACTTTATGAAGTTACAAAGCATTGCAGACAGTCAGCATACTAATTAGATACTGTGTTTTGTACATAATTAGAAAGCTTCCTCAATTATTAATTGCTGACTACAGTGACTGTCAAAGGTATCTAAAAAGAGACATGTTTATCTTACCTATTAAATATTATCTGTCATTAAGAGTAAGTTTGCTTTGAAGTGAATTGGCTTGGTGACGTTGATATTTCCCTAGCTTATCTCAAGAAGCAGAAGTCAACGATACTGTACACATGCGCTTTCCTTTTATCATCATCATCAACCTTTCTCACCCCATACAGGAGTATAGGCCACCAACAAGAACTCTTCATGTACTTCTGTACTTTGCTATTCCTGTCCCTTTTGGTGGAAATTCTAAGTCCCACCTCCTAGTGCTTTTAGTCCTTCCTGTCTTTCTCTCTCCCTGTGGATTCCATCTTATCATCTTCATTACTGCCCTTTTCATTCTGCCTCAAGGTAGAGGCCATTAACAAACACTTTCCAAGACTTGTATTGTATTCGTCATCAAAGGTTAACCCTTTCTCTCGAGGTTGGATTCCACATCTACTTGAATGTAAGTCTCTCCAAATCATGTGCAACCTGGAGAAGAGTCTCAAAGAATTATGTACAAAAAAGTAGGAAGAGATTTTAAGACTCTTATTACTTTACTTTGTACTTTTTTCTCAGTTTGGAATCTGACCCTGAGGCAGGCACATCCTCAGGATCTTCTCAGCCAATCAATGATAGCGAAGAGAAGAAAGGACCAGCACCTGTGGTCCAGTTTGGAGATGATTTGGCTCACTGGGAAAACCCAGACAAGATGGAGGCCCCTTCTATAGTTAAGTAGGTGGAATTCTGGTTTATTCCACAAAGAATAAGCTTAAAGTTGTCTTAATCTTTTACTTGAGAAAGTGTTCTTTAATTTTCAGATCTAGTTACAGAATTTACTCAAAGGTTTGGATTCCATATAACTTGATGAACTACCTTCGAAACTGTGTAGACGTTCACCCAGAGTCAGAGAAAAAAAAGTGGGCCTATGAGACAGGTGTCCGTATTAGACAGGTGGCCATCTTACGCAGTGTCCTTATAGTATAGTGTAAAAAATAAGCAATTAAGGAAATCGGAAGTGGCTGTGTATACACATGACCTATAGAGTAGGTTTGATTGTATAAGATTTTAATCTTTTTCTTTTTATCTGATAATTGCCTGAAATTGGTAGTGTTAAAACTCCAAATGCATCTGTTGTCTTTTAGTTTATTTTGAAAGTAGCGGTAATTTTTTTTTTCACTCTACATTAGGTAAGGACAGGTAGACTTTTATAACAAAGACAAGGAATTTACTCAGCTTATAGATCTCGATCCATTGAGTAACTAGTTCTGGGTCTGTACAAAGATATGGCAAACTGGAACAGAGAGATGTGAAAAGTGGATCTGGAATGGCACCTGGAGGAAACTGGTTTATGCCTGATGCTTTCTGTGAGATTTGTGGATGAGTCATGTTGTCATTAGCTATGGTAAGTTAGAGGTGGTCAGTGAAGTTGAAAAATATTATATCGCCAAATTTCTTCAGTTTAACTCATTCGCTACGTATTATTTTCGGCTTGTGGACGAATTTTTTTTCGCGAGAGCGAGAGAGATGATGACTAGTGGGTCTAGAAAAGGTCTTTGGGGCCACAAATTCAAATAAATATCAACGTATTATATACCAATATTTTCAGTATGGTTTGTAGAATACATCTGCAATGTTTATTTATGTATTTTTCAACTTTGGTTCCTGTAAGAGACGATTACGCAACACAGTTTTGATTGGATGCGGATAAAATTTGAAAATAAAAAATCTATAATCTTTGATGAAACTCAAAAAATATGTTTGCACCTAGTCAAATGATACATCAAAATAACCATAAATGAATATAGAACTGGAAAATATTGAAAAGTTAGCAGTTATTTACCTACATTCCATAATATTTGTACATTTAGAACATAACATCCGATATTGAAAAAAATTAAAAATTTGTATAATCTTGAAAAAACGATCACAAACAGAAAAAACCCGCTCGTATCTTATATGGAATTATTCAGAATTGCATTTGGAATAAACTTATACATGTCTTGAGTGGCACTTTTGTGTAATTTCATCAAAAAGTAGTGATTTTGGGGAGGAAAAAATATTTTGAATATTTAGATCTTGATCTAGATCTAGCACTCAAAAATATTGATTTCTCAATAACATAACATTGACAATATGAGTCCAATAGTATCAATATTATAAAAAAGAGTCCTACACTTCTTTAGAGGGCAAAATAATGATAGATTTTGTTGTGTAAAATTACAAAAAACTGGTGTCCGGGCTATAATTTTGGCATCGCGATAAAATAAAGTCGAATAAACTACGAAATCGCGTTTCAAAACTGAATCTAAATTCCCGATGTTCAGTGGAAATGCTCGACCCAGAAGTCAACATTATATTATGACCTTTATTTTAACATGGATATGTGGATTGGAATAGAATCTAAGCTAAAAATGAAGATCGGTTCTCGCGCCGCCGTGGACGGCTTAGCATACTGACGGCACTTTAGCCGCGCCGACCCCCACGGCTCGGCGTAGCGAATGAGTTAAAAGGATTTTCAGTTCAGAGAGGTTGCTTAAATAGACAGAAAAAAAAACAGATTTTATTTTCTTTCGGTTTCCTGCAGTTTTCGAATCAACCGTGTTCTATTTAAGCAGACTCCACTTAGTTTTTATAGAAGCAGTGGTGGTCTCAAATTCCCTCTTTTTACACATTTTGAAACTTACAGGAATTTATTTGTAGTTAAGGCTTGGCACTTTTTGTTTTGTTATTTTTCTCTCAACTCTTTGTTCTTGTTTATATTATTGCAGATTTGACTCCTTACATCGGTTTTGGACGGCCAAGGAACCGGAACACGACAAGCCCTCTGATGTAAGACCTGTGTCTATCATTTGTATCTTTGTAGTGCTATGTATGTGTATAAAATACCAACTGTTTGTAACCTTTACCCTCCCTGCTTTTGTTTTATGGCTTTCTCTTTTGTTGTTTTTAAGGAAGGAGGAGGCTATGATAACTTTTGAGCGATGACTGTGGTGTAGCGATTGGGTGCTTCGCTGTCACACGCAGGAGACTCAAGTCTGATTCCTGACTGGGGAGAAAATAATTTTTATTGAATAGATTGGTCTTTCTGATGTGATGTATCCCTCTCAGCCCAGTTTGGCCTTCACAGGCAGGGTCAAAAGCCCACCTCCTAGAACTAGATGATCTAAATTGTGTTGATGGGGACTTTAAAAACATCCTGTTTGAGATATTTGTTGTTAGTGTAGTGGGTTGTTGAAATTGAATAATTTAATTCTTTTTTGGAAGGAGGGGAAGGGTGGAGAGAATGTGGAGGATAGGTTGTGCCATTGTTTGCTATTATTTTATTTGAGTTTTAATTTCCTTTTTTCTTTTCTGTAAAGGTGACTTTTTGTACTTACTTAAGTGGCAGAATGGCATACTACCCTGAAAAGACATCGCTTTTTGAAGATAGAATATTCCTGTGGCCCAAGGAAAGCCAAAAAGTTCAGTCGTTATCATAATATCTTCTTTTTTTGTACCTATATAATACCTTGAGGCCCTCAGACCCTTTTTTGTGGGGGTTGGTTTGGGGGTTTTTTGTTTCAGATTTATGGGTTTCCTTATTTTTTTAAATTTACTTTAATATACCTTTTTTTTAGTTAGCGTTTTATGGCACTTGCAACACAATTAGGTCATATAAGTGCTGGAGATTAAAGGTGTTATTAGAGTTAGAGAGTTACAAACACAAAAAAAGATGGGGGAGAGATAAGGGCAAAAGATAGATGTTTGATAGGAAAGAAGGAGCAAACCACACCAGGGTACCTGCCAACTACCAACTTATTATACCTTATTTAGAGAAGCAAAAGTATTCAATTTAAAAATTCTTCATCGGGGTCGGATATCTTGACTCAGTGTTAGAAAAGTGTTGTGTAATAGTATGGTCGTAATAACAGTGTATGATTTTCACCCAGCATGACATCGCTGCAGTGCGGAACAGATCCTTCACCTATGTGGGCAAGTTTGAGCCGGTCAAGTGGAAATGTCGAGCACCGATGCCGAGTGGAAAACTGTGTGAAAGGATGGACAGAGTAAAGGTGTGTATAACGTTTTCCTTGCCAGCATGTGCTGTATCTGTACAACTTAATAATAATAATAATAATATATAACATTTATATAGTCCATTTCCAAAAAAAAGTAACTCAATGCGCTTTACATTGGAATACCCATTTTCAAAACCCCTCTATACACTGTTTCTGAAATGTGATGTATGATGGGGTCTTACACGGAGCAGTTGATGTGTAACAATGTATACAGCCAAGCACATGCGTAAAGCAAAATCAGTTGGACAGGAAAATCTTTTTGTTATGCATGAACTTTGGTATGTACATATTTTAAATACTAAGAATATACATGTACAAGTATAAGAATAAGAATAAATTCAGGGCAGTAAAATCTGTTTGCTATGAGTGTGTTTTGCTATGTTCATGCTAGAATGTATATATATATATCATGACCTTGCCTTGGAGCCTGTGCTTACTGCTTATTGTCCTAAACTGTAAAGGAGTCCGTAATTGCTACACTGTCAAATGAACAGTCTTGATCAGTTTCATTGCTGAGATTTTGTCTTGTTTCTTCCTACTGGAATCCGCTCTAGGGATAGAAATATAAAACCCTTTACTTACGGCCTTGGACTTGATTCTGTTTTAAGTTGCGGAAGAAACTATTATATTTTAGTTTAGTAGTTTTCGGAAGAGTTTTACAGCACTTGCAACACAATCAAGTCATATGTGCCGAAAATAGAAGTGTTAATAGACAGTATCTTACAAATTAAAGTAGGAGAGATAAGTATGATCTATATAATATGTTTAATTGGAAAGAAGGAGCAAACCATAGCTGAGCACCTGCCAATCACCCACTAATAATTGTAGGCCTATTGATGTGATGTTGATTACACAGGCTGAAGAAAAGGCAAGTGGGATAACGTTGGAAAGGATTTGTGATAAAGGGCATTATATCCAAATAGGGAAAACATATAGCAAGAGCTAATTGTTTAATTTATGATCTGTACACTTTTAGAGAAAAAGGTGAATCGAAGCAGTATTAAATCATTGGTTACAACACATTTCAGGCCCAAATATTTTACTACTAACTGTAAAGATTAAGGATCTTGCTAGTGTTATAAAGGGGAAAAAATAGCAAAAGTTTAGATATTGGTAATGATCAATTTGGTCACAAAGTTTTTAATCTTATTCTTGAGCCCTGTCTAATAAACGTCATAGTTCTCAGCCTTCTTGTGTGAATTCTAACATGATGAGCTTGTCACTCCCCTCACAACGGACGGTCGGAGGGCATCACTGGAGGTCCTACCTCTTTTCTTTTCCTTCACTCTTTTAGTTTTTGTCCATTCGTCTCGCTTCTTCCCAGCACTTAATGACTTAATATGTTAAACTTCTTTTTACTCAAACTCAAACTTTTCCCAGTGTCCATTCCATGGGAAAATAATTGCACGAGATGAGCAAGGAAATCCAGCAATGGAAAACAGGCCTTCAACTTCAACATCTGGACAAGAAAAGGTGGCTATGACACCTGCAACGGAGTCGCAGACCGGTGAGTCTTTGGAAACAATTCCCTTTTTAATATAGGTGTTTTAAAACCTGAATCAACACAATTTATTTCATAAGCCTCTGACTCTACTTATCAGGGCCAACCTGGGCTGAGAAGGTTACAACATCCCATCCGAAAGACCGAGATCCTCGATTAAAATATCTCCCCTCTCTAGAATTGAACTCGGGTCTTCTGCAGGAAACAACAAGTACCTAACTTCTACACCACAGACATTGGCGAGTCTTTTGATGATTTGTGTAATGAGAGACTACGGCCTGTAATTTGTTGAAGTCCAAGCTTATTGGCTGTTTTTCTGATGTGCACCTGTCGCACATTTTGTTACAGGCCTGTAATTTGTAACTGAGGAGTGTGCATTTTTTTTTATCAAAGAGTTAAGAGCTTTGATTCGCATGACATTGAAAATTGCAATGAAAATCAATCATAAGCACAAAAAAAAGGGTTGTTTTGCTCTCAGTAGTTTTGACAGAGAATTCATGTTTAGCAATAATTTTCGACTTCTAAAGTGTATGCAAATATTCGCATGACATACTTTAAAACCTCCTACGAAAAAATGTCAAGAGAGAGAATTATTTTGTTTGTTTGTTGTTTTATTTTAATTTCATCCTCAATATAATACCAGTATCTAGGCAGTGGTCATTTTTTTTTTTGTTAGCTACTGTAAACACAGTCTATAAGTAAGCAATGTACATGTTGTTGGGGGGGGGGGGGGGGGGGTGTTGCATGTTTGTTTTTGTTGTGGGGGTTTTTTTCATATATTTTTTTTTTTCTTGGTGGGGAAAAAACGTGCAAATATTGTAGATATAATAATACATACATAATATATATATATATGTATGTATGTATATATATATATGATATTGATATACAAGCAATGTTTTTATAACACCACAGCTGATGACTCAGAACTCCCTGCGTGGAAAGACCCACAGTTGCAGAGAGAAATTGAAGCAGCCACAGGACATGACCTGGGCTCTGCCCGTTCTCAGAAGCTTCTAGATAAAGCTAAAGCAAAGGGCAAAGGGAAAGGCAAGGGTAAAGGTCGAAAGAAGTCGCAGTTGACAAACATACATGCCAGTAAAAACACTACCAGGAGACGCTTGGAGAACAAGGTTTTTAACAAGTATGTACTCTATGATACTCTATCATTTTTCAACATATCTTTCCTCTGTACTTACTGCAACTAACAGTGTCTGGCATACCCTTGATTATGATTGGAGTTATTGTACCTCTAACATGTACGCTCGTATGTGTCTTAACACGATGGAATCAAGTGCTGGTCAATTTTTAAGCATGTGATGTCATTGGAATAATCAGAAAGCTTGTTTATTTCCCTTGCTTTTGATGAAAAAAAAAAATACCCACCTATCTCAAATAGAAATTGAGATATTAGTAATTGATGGAGTCGGGGGTCATCTGGTGTCCAAACTAAAATTAGCGAGAAAATAGCTGCCAAAGTTTGGTGACTTCTAAAGCTTGGGTGTCCTTGGAAACTGCAAATTTTCATGTATCTGTGCCCTATGATCAAGATTTTTCAGTAAAATCTACCGTGAAATGTGTTTTTAAATGAACATAAAAATCCTTGAAAAAAATCAGATTAAAATTTCCCAGTGGGCAGAAAAATGCTGATTTCTTCGACTTCTTCAACGTCATCCTTTTGATAGGCACCTGATTCCACCATGATGCCACAAATACGCACATAGCAGCTATAAGTTGTGTGCATGGCAAACAAAACAAAGATTGTTTCAATTTCTGTTTAGAAAATTTTGAATTGAGTATATAGAAAGTCAGACAGGTTTGTTTGAAAGCATTCTCCAAAGTCAGTCTGTATTCTCATCTCTTTTTCTGAAGGAAACATAAATGTGTTGGAAATTCTTTTGGATCCTGTGTAAGTTGAATTGCAGTCTAAATGGTTCACTCTCTCAACTTGCAGTACTGTTTTGTCTATCTTTTGTCATTTACAGTGAAGACTATCCAAGACAGCCACCCATTGCCGAGGAGCAAAATGCCCATCTAGGACAGGCGGCCGTCTTACATTGTGTCATTATTATGGGTTTTTTTAAATACGCAAAAGAGTAAATGAAAAATAGCCATTTCGTACAGATGATTGTCTTATGCAATGTACAGATTGCTGTGAGAGCAGGTTTGACTCTATCTGACAGCTCTTCTGTTCTTTTATTTTTCCAGATCTTCACTCAAGCGAGTCTGTTCCAACCTGGACAGAGCCGACTACAAACGAGTGAGGGACAAGTTTGGGAGCCAGTTCAACTACAGTCTCAAATGATGTGCCGGGCCAAGTTTTGTAATGGGTTTGAAAAACCATTTGCACGACAGTTGAGGTTTCAGGAAGGTGCTAAAGGCATTTGGAGATGGAATGGACAGGATTTGACCTTTGACTGGGCTTAGTTTGACCTCAACAGAGCCAAGTTTTGACTGGATCATCAGACATTTGTCCTGTCACCTGTTGAATCCAGATAATTAGCCAAGAATAGTATCCACATAAAGAAAACTATGTAGGCCTACTGCTATTTCTGACTAAAGCTCAAAAATTAAAAAAGAGTCTTAAAATCTCTGCCTTTGATTCGTAGGGAAGGAAAAACTATGGACCACTGTATCTGATGATGATAGAAACAGAGTCAGATGAATAGGTTTGACTAAGATTTTGTAATGGCTTGTTGTCTGTTCAGCTGTTTTCAAAATCTGTTCTCTTTGACCTTCATCTCGATTCATGGACTATGAATTTATGTCAGTGGCTGATCAGATATCTGTACCAAGCATGGGTTGGCTCAGTGATAACGTCTCAATCCCTGACTGTCTCTCAAAGAGATAATCGTTCCCTGCTGGTATTTCAGAGCATATTAATTATGACACATTGCTAAGAAAGTAGAACCAATGGAGTGTTTAATTTCTTTTATCTTTTCTTTTTCTGATTCTTCCCCCTTATTTGCAGATATCGAAACCTAGAGTCACTATTCAATTTCCTCTTAATATTGTGCAATCTGAAATTTATACACATATGTTCTATTATATTAATCATTCTGTTCACTGTGCTGAGTTGCTGAATGTATATATTTCTTAATGGATTATATTTCATGCCTGGTTCATTTATCGATGCTATATGCTTGATTTTGATTGAATAACTTGGTGGCTTTTTTTAGTCTATCACTCAGCTTCTGTCATTTGCTTTAGCTTCCAGTCATTTAGCCTGGTGCCATGCATTAAGTTTTTTATCAATATTGGCTGTTATTCACTTTGATTGCTGTGGGCATTATTGTATTAATGGATTTACTGGCCTTAGACTTTTGTAGTTTATGTTGTCAAGTGAAGAAAGACAGATTCATTCTTCTGTAGTCATGTGAACTTTCATGAAATAAGCTTTTTAGGTACAGTATGTGCAAGTTATTTATTTCTCTCATCATAGTTGCGACTATCAGGATTTTAATTCGTTACCCATCTATTCCGTCAATTTAAGAAATAACCGACTCTTAGTGACTTAAAAATACAATATTTCGGTAGACCAAGAAATGAACTTTCAGTGTGTCTTTGTTTGGTTGAGATCGCTTCATGAGCTGAATTTTTATGTATTTCCTAACCTCCCTTGGTTTTCCCCCAAGTTTCAACTTCATCACACCCTACATTTCATCATATTTACTTTGGTAATTCAAACAGGTACGAATTGTAGGCCAATTTCGACCATTCAAAGACTCAGAGAATAAAGAACTACTGTACTTTAGCTGTATAGCCTCGTTTTTAGTCAATTCTGATTGGACAGTATTCCTAGACCTCATAGAAATGCATACCACGACAGTGTCGCATGTTCGACGATTAAAACTGTGTGCAACGCCGCTCTAGGTGCGAACCGATAGACTCTATGTAGCGCTACTCTAGTTATTAAATGTTCAAATTTTGTGGCAGTCGTGGGGTTAATGACCTATTCAAACTCGAACGGAAATTTGCAATCTGGTGTAAATGATATGCTGTACAAGAGGATAGTGTATTTTGTTGTGCCTTTCAGCAAGTCAACTTTATTAATTTATACTTATGTAGATGTATTTATTTTATACATTACTGCTTTTATTTTTATCTCATCATCTAATTCTCTGAATATGTTTTCAATGGATTGGTAATAAATCATATTTGTAGTCAGATGCCAGCAACACTCTGTAACTTACGTTTTATTCTATTTATTTTTTTCTCCCCACAAACTGTGACTGTGATAATCTAAAAGGAACGGCTCACATTAATCTTAAGTGTCATAATGAAATGGTTTGATTTTGAGGAGAAAATAATGTTTCCTGGTGAGACTTTTTGTATACACGTCATATGGCATATATATCTGTTATAAGTTGACAAAATGCCTTTTTTCATTTTGGCGCCAAAAATGTGTCTTTGCTAAATCGAAAGCCTGATTAGTTACCCTATTTGTGTGAAAAAATTAAAGTGTAACTGTGACTAGTTTTTTAATAAATTAGAATTCTTATTTCGGAAGCACTCTATTTTTCAATGGTAACCCTGACAAAAAACGTTTTTTCTCGAAACTGCTGTGAATAAAAATAAGCGTTTTGTCAGTTTGCGGCAGATACATGTATGTCATTTCTCCATTGAAATGCTGTTCTTCTGTTTACTTCTTTACTACTCACAAATTGTTTGTGTCTCAGTCTTATCATATTTAGTACCATATTGGCAGCAAAGTTGTTCAGTGTGTATTCACGATGCATTACTTTTTTTCTTGAAAATGATTTACACCTGAATTAATTTATGATTTTAATGAAATTGCAAAATTTGACTTCATGTACCAATGGGCTGACAAACTTTGTGTCACAATGGGTACCGTATTGGTCGCCTGATTAAAATAAACAAATTATACATTTTTACAACTCGATTATGTGTTATTTGTGTCAGTTTTAGAGACTGTAAATACTACTGGGCGTCACTAAAAAATAACAACAAAATAACAATAGAACTCTCTGTTTCTAAAAATAGCAAATTCTTAAGCCACAATCGTTTGAAGTGATCTAGCGGTTGTGGCATGTTAAATAATAGACATTAGTAATGACTGCTACAACCTCTCTCTCTCTCTCTCTCTCTCTCTCT